AATGGTGAGAATATAAACTCGGAATTCTGAGAAAAAAGTCAGAATGGGGAGAATATAAACTCGGAATTTTGAGAAAAAAGTCAGAATGGTGAGAATATAAACTCGGAATTCTGAAAAAAAGTCAGAATGGCAAGATATAAACTCGGAATTCTGAGAAAAAGTCAGAATGGCGAGATCTAAACTCGGAATTCTGAAAAAAAGTCAGAATGGGGAGAATATAAACTCGGAATTCTGAAAAAAAGTCAGAATGGCGAGATCTAAACTCGTAATTCTGAAAAAAAGTCAGAATGGTGAGAATATAAACTCGGAATTCTGAGAAAAATAGTCGCAATTGCAAGATATAAACTCGCTATTCTGAGAAAAAAGTCAGAATGGCGAGATATAAACTTGTAATTCTGAGAAAAAAGTAAGAATGGCGAGATATAAAAGCGACAGCGTAATTCTGAGAAAAAATAGTCGCAATTGCAAGATATAAACTCGGAATTCTGAGAAAAAAGTCAGAATGGCGAGATCTAAACTCGTAATTCTGAAAAAAAGTCAGAATGGTGAGAATATAAACTCAGAATTCTGAGAAAAAAGTCAGAATGGTGAGATATAAACTCGTAATTCTGAGAAAGAAGTCAGAATGGCGAGAGATATAAATTCGGAATTCTGAGAAAAAAGTAAGAATGGCGAGATATAAAAGCGACAGCGTAATTCTGAGAAAAAAGGCAGAATGGCAAATATAAACACAATTCTGAGAAATAAACTCACAATTGTGAGAAATAAAGTTGCAATTGCGAGAAAAAAATCTGAATTGCGAGATTTAAACTCACAATTGTGAGAAATAAAGGTGCATTTGCGAGATATAAACTCTTTATTTCTTCCAATTGCGATTTTATATCCTGTAATTCTGACTTCTTTTCTCTCAATTGCGAGTTTATATCACTCAGTTCTGAGAAAAAAGTCATAATTGCGAGCTGTAAACTCACAATTATGAGTTGTGAGATAAAAGTCGCCTTACTTTTTATTATTTTTTTATTCAGTGGCAGAAACAGGCTTCCATAAATATTTGTCTTTATCTTCAAAAAGCGATTTTTGTTTTTATTCCTTCACCTCTAAACTCCAGTAAGTCAAAATTGTGTCGAATTGCTTCAAAGTGTTTGCAAGAAGTCGACCTCAGCTGTGTGACATTCAGTGCCCCTAGTGGCAGCATGCTGAATTACAAAATCTATGACTGTTTCCAAACAGATTTTCCCTTCCGCTATAAAAACAGGAAGTCCCGTCCCAAACAATTTGGGACTGCTCAAATAAACAGGACAATGTTTCTTATTGGTTAATGTGTAATGGGCCACTGTCAGGTCATTTTTTTGCTGTTTACAGAACCAAGAGCTGCCACAGAGACAAGTATACAAATAATTAGAAAAACTTTGAAATTCAAGTGTGATTTCTGAGGACATCTGTCAAGTAACAGCGACATGTTATGTGTTGTGTTCCAAAAAATCACTTACAGCTGTTTAAAGTACTTACACAAGCTCTATAAATGATGGTATTGAGCAATATGGCGATTTTTGGATAATAAGTACATTTATGTATTATTTTTGGACAGAGTTGTTGAGGTAGTGTGTTCATGAGTTTATAAAAGGCTAATAATGAATTAAATCATAAAAATGTAACATTAAAATAAAACAAATATTTATAATATAATAACTAATTGTAAAATAAAAACAATCAACATAAGATATTTTATTTTGTTTACATGCAAATGTGTTGTTAAATTATTGAAATATTGACTTGTGCAACTTCAAGTAAATATGTCAAAGAGGTTCGGCTGACAAAAGGGTTTGTGAAATCCTTGCTTAGATTTTTTACAGTTTTTTTTTTTGGACCCGTTTAGACATGATTTTATAGCATACTCGGTTACATAAGACTCGCTCGTCTTTATTTTCTGACTGCGACTCAGTCATTTTTATGGCTTACTGTTTATTTATGGGTGAAAAATGTATTTATGTGCGTCAAAAGTTTTATGCACTGTGTTTTCCAGCTTGAAAGCTTCCACATAAAATCAGTAGCACACACATGTATATAAATTAAGATCTAAAAATAGAATAGAGTTCAATAAAACCACACCAGGACCGGTGTGCACTGGGAGCAGGCTGTACATGAAGCTCATATATCTGCTGCCGTCACTCCGGCCAAAGCAAACACACATCAGAGTTTGAGAGAAATTGAAGTGTTTGGATAAAAGATGTCTTGTAAGTCGAGAATTTCTGGAAGGAAAAGTCAGTCCATAAGTAGAGGGGTTTCTGTAAGTTAAATTGCGAGCAGCGTAAAACGTCTGCTTCCTACGAAACTATCAATCAGTAATTCTGCTTTTGTGGCTGCTGGAGAAATGTGCCATTTCTGTGCCAAGAGTTTAAATTTATTCTCCTGGATCAGTGATAAGGTTTAAATGTGCAATATTTAACAGTGATAAAGTGTGAGTGTGTGTATGAAATATCATTATTATTAGTGGTATAGAGCCCTATGGATTCGGTGATGTGGAAAACGAGGATGGAATAACGGTATCCAGTCATAAAAATGGAATTTACAGTATAACACAGAATGTCACGGAATTTGGCAAATTTTGGATAAATAAATCAAAAGTAGGGCTGTAAATTTAAACAAATTGAAATGTGGACTTGTGCCTGTGAATATTACAGCTCAAAAGACGGCTATTTAAATATGAAACCTGTATTTCCGTGTTTGAGCAGCATAGTTTGTCATATACACACAGACTCAAAAGTCTTTATTATTGCATTTTAAAAGTACTGCGTTATTGCATTTTTTGCAGCACGTGCTTGCGAGTTTGACAAAAATAAAATGTATATTTTCTTTTGATTACATTTTAGAAGACTGATTAAACTGTTAATGTTTTATGCCTTTATTTGACCACAATTTTTGATAACAAAAACAAATATTTATTTCTGAAAAAATAAAAGATTGAAATGGGTGTTGCGGAAATTGTCATAAATTGTTAAGGTCTTATGAATTTAATCCTTTTTGATTGTTAAAAGTTAATTAAATCAGAATCCAGAAAATTAAATGGAAAACACAGAATTTGGGATTAAAATAGATTTCTTAGGCCCCTAAAAAAGTCAGTTTTATTCCACTTTCAATAAACTGTTGTTAAATTGTAACACTAAAATTTAATTACTAACATTAAACCATAATCCAGAAAAAAAATAAAGCAAAAAACACAGAATTTGGGGGAAATAAAACCGATTTCTTAGGGCCCTCAAAACTGAATTTTTGTTAAACTTTTATTAAATTGTTGTTAAATTCTAACGCTAAAATGTAATTACTAACATTAAAACAGAGTCCAGAAAAATTCAAACGGAAAACAAACGGAATCCAGAAAAAGCAGACCACCTTAGTGTCACAAGCGTCTGACATTTGCTTCATAAATTAAAAGTCTAGTTGTTTCTGCTGCTCTCTGCTGGTTTGAAATGAACCCAATAGCATTTGGTTGAGTGTGCTGGTAACAAGAACCAGTGCTGCTCTTGCACAAGAGTGTTTGTGGCTACCTCTTTGGTATGACATTAGTATTTAGACTGAATGAACAACGTGTGTATGTGCGTCAATCAGGAACTCTTTTATTGTGCTGTCAGTGTTAATTTGATAACGACCATGTTGAGCGCTGAGACTCTTATCAGCGTTACTGTGATACAGCACCTGAGAATTCCTTAAATTCCACACACACACACACACACACACAGAGATGAAGTCACAGCTCAATCTCTGGAGCGTCCAGCTTCACCTGCAGCTGCCACAGCTGTTCAGATCTT